GTACTTGTTGGAATGCCCTGCGTGAGCAAAATACTGGTTCACTATAAGGTGGAACAGTTTTTATGGCCACTGTCCACACTAGGAATATTTTCTATTGCATGCCCTAATGACGCCTACCAAAGGAAAGAAGGTTAGAAGTCTCAATGAGGGCACAGACCACAATCAATCTAACTGATTCTAACACTTTCCCCAAATTGTTAAACTTAAAATGAAGTTGCTTGTGTAGTGCTTCAAGGTTCCCTTTAAATATTGCTGCTCGGGCAAGTGTCTACAAGCCTAAACTAAAAGACCATAGCCATACACGTGTGTAAGGAATCAAAATTAGCATTGTGCAGTGACTTTACCTCGACACCCCATTCACACTGAGCAGTTAATCATATGATTTCTGCTGCAAAATCGCTCTATATGGCATGTCCGATGCATTTCAATGGAGCTGTTCACATCTCACAGCTCAAGGTCGCCTGTAGCTTGTCGGTGACCCTTTTTTGTGCAGATGTCGCGCGATTCGGCTCCAATAGACTCTATGGTGTTGTGCAAAATTGCCCATTACCGGCGATATTGCGTGACTTCGTGCTACAGAAGGGTCACTTTTGCACTGGAAAATGGAAGGAAAGAATGATGTCACATCAAGATTGGTTACAGCGAAGTCCTGCCCAAAAAAACCGCTATGTAGCGTGGTAAAAAGTGAATTGTCGCTCTATCGCGCCATGTAGCGCAAAGCCGTTAGCACAAAAACGTGCAATACCCATGTCGCTCAGTGTGAATGGGGCCTTAGGGGGAAGTAATAGCCTTTTAGCGAGTGCATATTTTTAATTGTTTTTAGAAACTCGTAGCGTTTGTTTTTCTATTGGGTGCCCAGGTGTAGTGCGTAACACATGTGCAAGTGAGCTTTTCATTACAGGGATGCACTGAGTAGCAGTCAGGTGAGACTTAAATGAGCAACCACAGAAGGTATGATGGAGGGAAGGGCATCAGACATAAGTCTAAACCCTGTCATGTCTAGCTGAGTCAGATCTTTTGGAAATGTGATTGGACAGACCGTTTCAGTGACAATGACAAACCTGGTGCTGTAGGAAGAATGCTGTCCTACCACAACTTGACCTTTCATCTCCAGAAACAAGCCAGAGGAATGCATTGTGTACAGTAAACTCCATTTGTGATTTTGGTGTGTGCTAAAGGCGGGGACATCCTCATATTTTTGGAGCAGTGGTTTAGTGTAAAATCTGCACAGCCATTTCTTGGATTATTCCTGGTTATTAGGCCCTATTCACACCTGGATTTTGGTGTTTTCAGGCAGATTTTTTTTTTTTTTTAGCATTTTGATGCTAGTTTACAAAGCATTTTGCAGGTGTTCTGCCTCAGGAATTTTCTTTTTTGGCCCATTGCAAAGCAGAAGCATCTCTGACATCATGCCAAAAGACCCGAAAACCACTTGTGATGTGCATTTTAAGGTGTTTCCATTGAAGTCTGTGGGGGCAAAAATGCACAAATCGGCTTGAAAAGAAGCACATGTACTTTTTAAAACTACAGGTGTTTTGCCAAACCTTTATTTGATGGTGCTGAATGAAACTGATCAGGTGTCTACCGCCTTCCTGCTTGTATCCAGGATGCATTGTCCAGGCTGTGGAGCTCCCACCCTTTTAAGGGAGAGCCAGCCAGGGCTACACTTCTAAACAAACCATTTAGAGAATTTGCAATGTACAGCAACAGCTTGAGAAATTTAAAGGCACAGAACGCTTTCTGACTTTGGATAAGACAATAAATGACAGTAAATAACCTGGAACAAAAGATTACACAGAGGAAAAACAAAGCTTTTACAATAATAGGACTATGAATCCACAAGAGTTTATTTTTGGAATGGGTTTAACAGCGATGATCACCAGCAATAATAGGATGAGATGAATGGCAGACATGGTGATCAGGATGTCTGGTGCCATCCGTGGACATCACTACAAGCACCACCGCTATTTTAAATGGTCTTTATTGTTGTATAGTGTGCAGGGGGCATCTTTGTTTACTCATGGAATGGGAGCTACTAGGTCAGAGTACAAGAGTGTAAAAATACTGCAATATTAAAAGGGTTTTTCTGATGCAAAATTAGATACTTTTGCCTCTCAGACTTTTGGGAATTCACAGCGAAGCATGTCAAAAAGGAAACTAATGGATACTTTTGCAGAAGAGAATGAAGGAGATACCAGGTACAAAACAAACAACAACAAAATCAAACGCACAAAAAACTACTTTAAAAGAATGAGGGAAGTGGAAGGGTTGTAAACAAAAAAAAACGATTTATATCTTTACAATGAATGGAGAAAGATTTACAGGGTTATTCACAAAAGGGTGAAGAGTTTGGAGAAGGCCGGAGAAGAGAAGAATCTAGGACAACATCGCTGAACTGGAAAGTGAGCTGAATTGGTGAATTTTTCCAAATCAGTTATTTTGTCCTAGATTGTTTCCTTCTCCTGCCGCCTTCAAACTCTTCACCCTTTTGTGAATAACCCTGTTAGTATCTTTGGAATAATTTGAAAATATTGTAATTTGAATGGCGGACAGGGGTGTAATCAAGGGCGTAATTGCTGGTAATTATGTATATATTTAATATTGATCAATATATGCTCAACCTTCATTGTACTGTCTGATCCAGCTGTTGTAATGGCGTGGCATCTCTATGACAACCAGCCCCCTCACTGCACAGACTTTTCTCCACTTGAGCCCGGATGGAAATAATACGCGGCGCATGTGCTGGAGGACGGGGGTTGGACTGGCAGAGGACTCAGAACCTTGGCTTGTGTGCTAAGCATCCTGTTGCTAGGGTAACAAACGGCCTTCTACCGTGCATGAGGCCGTGACAGAGGTGCGCGCCTTCTCTGTAACAGATGATCTTCGCATTCTACACCATATGGTAATTTTAATACCTGCACGGTAGATGTTTACTATTTTGTTCTAGTTATGCCGGCTATATTATAATATATGGAATTTTCACATAGGTACCTTTCTAGAACTACTATATCTATGTTTTTGATTTCTTGAATGGCGGGAGTATGACATCATACGACTTCAGGAAGGGAGTAGGAGGTTCTTTGTTCTTTCATTGATCATGTATGTCTATTTAAATGGTGTTTACACATATGTGTGTTGTCATTCTGAGCCAGATGAAGGGCCCCGAGACCACTTGCACTAGAGTGCCAATATCTGTCAATAAATGGACTTTTGCTGATTGCACAAGACAATATGGTGTGCCGGTGACATCTCCTAAAACTTGTATGGTATCTCGCAACACCATCCGTGGTCACTACAAGCACCCACCTGCATCTTGTTGGGGAACGTATCCGGTAAGGAGTGCAGCAAGGCATCTTCTCATTATCTAGCCTTTTATACCTGCCTCTGACCCCAGGGGGTAGTCTTCCAAACAGGGACAGAAACATAAATAACAACCTGATTGCAGTTCTAAAGCTGGCCATACACCTTACAACCATCGCGCGACTTTCGTTGTGCGATGGTTGTAAGGTAATTAAAATCTCGTATGATCTGCCTATCTTGGACAGACAGATTGTACTTGCGATCATCGAAAGCCCGCCCCGCTGAGGGGTGGGCTTCCGATGATTCCAATGCTGAGTGGGCAGTGTGTGCTTGCGCATACCGGCCAGTTCGGCATTTGTCTTCCCATCACGCCACTAGCCCGCCGACAATCGTACGATTTTTGGCAGGTTTTCAAGTGTGCTCGGAAGACAAAAGACGTGCGACCGTACATTAGAAACGGTCTCACTCCTTCCATACACCTGCCAATTATCGTACGATAATCGGCAGGTGTATGGGCACCTTTAGGCTCTATAATTAATATAAAACTAGAAGCTATTTAGCTGTGTCTGCTTTTCAAATGGAGGGTTTGATAGAAATGCTATACTACCATAAACGCTTGCCAAGAGATAAGCTTGTCTCATGCGCCATTTATAGGTTCCCTCTACTTCTATTAATTAAAGCAGGTTGCTGTTAATTGATTTGCAATACTTGTTTTATACATTCCAACAGCTCATAATCAGTAAAAGATCAGAAAGATCGAATACATACTACAGGTGACAACTGATGACGGGAGATCCCAGTAGCAATCGGTAGAGATTCTGTAGTAGTTGGACAGGTTGCTCTGCCATCTAGTGTTGTCTCTTGATCAGATAACCAAATGAATGGAGTGAACGATCATGCAATAGATCACTTTAAATATCTCCCAATGTTCTGAGCTCTGAAAGAAGGACACATTATAGCACAAAGTATGGAAGCAAAGAAATGCCCCTGCCACACTTCCGCAATGCAGAAAATATGATTGGTTAAGCCGTCTTTTCTACCACTACTTGTCCAACATACTGGCTTTTCACAATAACAAAAGCAATAATATAGAGCTTAGATGAAAGATTTAGTGTAGTAAAATATCAATAGAGATTGGGATACTTATACTGTATGTATTTTAGGGACCCATTCACATCTGTCTGCTTTGGTACATTGCAATATTTTTGCCAACACAGTGCACCGAATTGCGTTACCGAACAAGCTGTCTTTGCCCTGGAACAAGCATGCAACTAAAGAAGTCACAGAAAGTCAGAAACCATTCTCTACATATTTGTTGCACACTGCTGAAGCCGTGGGCTCAGCATGACAGCCAGGCAGCTATTGTTTTCAGAAGGGGTGTTCCACACTGGCAGTTTCCATGATTTCTATAATAGAGTTTCTTTAAAGCACATGTCAAGGCAAAATAAAGTAAAACATATGCAGTACATCTCTACAACACATTGACATATCTGCCTCCTCTTCATCTGCAGGCTGGGAGCCATACCCAGCCTGCTATTGGATATTGTAAAATGCAATAGCCAATAGCAAGCCGGCTATTGCACCCGCCCACTGCCTGCTGTCAATCAGCATGGGAGGACCTGATAGAGAACTTCCTCCTTCAGGCCCCTCCTCTGCTGATTGACAGCAGGCAGTGGGCAGATGCAATAGCCAGCCTGCTATTGGCTATTGCAATGTCAAATATCCAATAGCTGGCTGGCTATTTCTCAGAGCATTAAAATATTTTTTTTTTTATTAATAAGACAAAAAAATTAAAAAAAAAGTTAAATTAATAAAAATAAAAAATGCAAACAAATAAAAAAAAATGTTTTTATAAAATAAAATGAAAAATAGAAAAAAAAACCTTTTGGTGTTTCATTTTAAATGACATTTTTTTTTATTATATT